CCCTTTTGACAGTGTCATCAAGTGAACCTGCAGCTTTTTACTGTAACGATAATGATAATAATTGGGCTAATAATAATGACGTTGACGCGTCCCTGCTGGGGTTTGAAGGTCTGAGAATGTTCTTCGACTTGGAGTTTTAAGGAATCCAAGGCATTCTGTCTCACCGTTGTTTTCTACGAACTCTGTTTCAATGCGACGGAAGGATCGGATGAGAGGGTGTTTGAGGCACCAAAAAGGCACACCAACAACGTCAACTGCATCGACATGTCCACTTTACCTGTAGGTCTTGCCTTCGGTCAAAGCAGTGAATCTAAGAAACGCATAGGTCAAACGCGTCGCTATGTCTGTTGGCCTCCGTCGACATTATCAGCCGAGTTCGGTGCTTGAGACCGTTCGGACACGTTTCAGTATCTGAAGACTTGTCTTCCATCCCATGATAGCACTTTGATCATGCCGTTGGCCACCAGCTACAATGAACATTAGCACTGAATGTGTGCATTAGTTTTTTTACTTCTGATGAGTCTCAAAAAAATTTTTACATCACCTCCATTAATTGTCCATGTTATTAGGGTTCTGTGCAGGCTAAACAACCACACGAATTTTGTCAACACTTCGCGATGCGTGAACATTCCGCAACCGATGACCCTGTCTGGAGTCCAAAGTTAATAAAGGCACCGAAGCAGGCGCCTTCGCACCCTTCTTTCAACCAATGCTGCTGTACGCATAACACCAGGTTGGCGGCTAGACGATTTCTCCACTTCCACCAGTTTGCGGGCGTTGCTTCGCCCACCATTTGTTTCCTAAAGCCTTAGCTAGAAGCTCTACGGGTTCGCGAGTTGCGACTGCCTTAGAAGGTGTAGCAAATGGAACGTCAAATAAAGCGCCTCACTTCTGACCTACTGGACAGCTTCAACAACTCCATTGGCTTCCCATCAAATAGTCGCCAGAAGTGAAACAGCAAGTTGATGCACTTTGTTTACTTACACAAAACAGTAGACGTTAAGTGGCAAAATACATGTTCATCTTTTTACGACTGTTCACCCAGAATGGAGAATAATGTACAAATCTTTGTAAAGTCTACTTCCCACCTGACAGGCAGGCAGGCTACATTTGGACGTCCAAAAAGTCGAACAGGAATAAATTTCAAAACTGGTTTAAGCATCATACACTCTCCATGATGAGCGTTACATGTTTGTGAGAGTGGAGTTGCACATAACATCTTCATCAACCGTTTAGTAACTGTTGTTGGTGTCTCCGCCTCCTTGGCGGGGGGGGGGGGGGGGGGGGGGGGGGGGGGA